CGCCGTCTGAATGTCACCTACCCCCACGTAGATCTTTCCATTCTGGGCTGCAGAATGCTCACGTCTGCATGTTAAGGTCACAGACCTCAAAAGGCACCACTTTTAGAGCAAGAGCTGCTTCTCCCCCCTTCCCTCACCCCCATCCCCACCCCCACGCAGGCAGAGTCCAGCTGGCTGCAGTGTTTTAACACTAATTTTTAGAGCACTGTTAAGAGCACAGCAAAACTGAGTGGAAAGCACTGAGTTCCCGCATGTGCCCTCCCGAACACACACGTCGCCGCCACCACTGGTGTTGGCACCCGGGCGGCGCTCCTGGCCCATCCAGGAACCAACACTGGCTGCAGTGTGTCAGGCATGCACTCTAGCCCTCCCGCAGGAGGGCACACTCGGCCCAGTGGGAGGTGAGGGTGGGGGTCTGATGAGCACAGCGGGTGGGCTCTGACACACACCGGGTCTTCTCCTGCTTGTCCCAGGAACGGCTTTCACCTTTCACGTTGCCACGGCCCAGAAGTGGTGGCTGGATTTCCTCTGGTCTCTCCTCAGGGTGATGGGGTCTGGGGAGTGGCGGGGGGAGAGGGGAGTCATGAGCCTGTGGCCTATTTGATGTCAGTCACGCACTTAATGCAAATTATCAAGGACCTTCTTGGTTGTGTGAGATCAAGTTTCCTGGGGAAGGTGCTGGATTGTGTACCTTTTTGTCAAATCCAGAGTCTCAACAGCACCGAGTCGACTCCTGATTTCCGCGGCTCCCCTGAGCAGAGCCAGACCTGCCAGCCAGACCCCCTCACCCTTTCCCAGGTGCCAGGGGCTCCTTGGGGGCGGTGGGGCGGTGGGGGGCGGTTATCACAGCCAGGCTCTGAGAAGAGGCAAGGGCATCTATCCTTCCTGCCTCAGATGGGAAGCTGCGGCCAGGAGAAGTGAGGTATCAGTAGCAGGTCCCAGATCCTTCCTCTTTCTGCAGGGTCAGAGCTGCCTGCAGCCACTGGGAGTTTCAAAGGAGAAACTGCAGCTGTTCATTTATAAAACTGCCAGCCATGCCCAGTAGTGCACACAGAACGGTGTATCGTTAAATTACTAACCCTCTTGTCTCCAGTTCTGGGTCTTTCTTGCTTGAGCCATGCAAGGATTTTTTAAGTGGTTCTCTCTCTCTCTCTCTCTCTCTCTCTCTCTCATATATTTTATTGATTTTTTACAGAGAGGAAGGGAGAGTGATAGAGAGTTAGAAACATCGATGAGAGAGAAATATCAACCAGCTGCCTCTTGCACACCTCCAACTGGGTATGTGCCTACAACCAAGGTATCATCGATGAGAGAGAAATATCAACCAGCTGCCTCTTGCACACCTCCAACTGGGTATGTGCCTACAACCAAGGTATATGCCCTTGACCGGAATCGAACCCTGGACCCTTGAGTCTGCAGGCCGACGTTCTATCCACTGAGCCAAACCAGTTAGGGCCATTCTCTTTTTTTAAAAAAACTGCCACCGTGCATTCTACCTCTTCTGTGTGTGGGCATGGGGTCTGGCAGCTGTCAGGACCCCGAGGTGGGTGGAGTGACTGCACCTGGGCCATGGGAGCCAGACGCTCGCCCCAGGTAGTGGGAAATTTGCTGTTTTTAAGGGCATCTGGGGGGAGTCAGGAAGAATAATTTCTAGTCCCGAGGACTCCTAGGTCTTCCTCTTTGGCTTCTGTCCTAAGTATCTCCCTGCTGCTTTCTCAGCCGTTCTTTCCTGTGAGCATCACAGCCTGTCGGCGTCGGCGTCAGGGCCTGTCCAGGCAGTCTCGTCCCATCCACATCCATTGCCCGGGGTGGCTCCCCCCGATCTCACTCCTGCACATGAAGCTTATTGTGGAAGCGGCAGGGGATGCCCCTGTGGCTGCAGACTTGCTGGGACGGGCTTGGAGTGAAGTGAGCCAGCCATGGGCACACCGTCCACGGGGCATGTCGTCCACCGGACAGAGGCCGCTGGCTCACACTGGGGAAGTGACTGCACATGGATTTTTCTCTCATTTACTCCTGCCCCGGGGCTAAAGCAGCATAAATGCTGCTGCCACCCTCCCAAATTTCTTCACAGATTAATTTCTCATCACTATTTTTATACCTACTTGATGCTTTTAAGAAGATTTAAATAAATATTTTGTCCAGCTTTTTGACTGGATCATTGCTGCAAATTGATTTTTTTATTAAACATTTTTAATATGTTTTTAATTGGTTGGGTTTTTTTGTGTGTGTTTTTTTTTAACAGAGAGAGAGAGAGAGAGAGGAAGGGAGAGAATAGATAGAAATATCAATGATCAGAGACAATCACCGAGCCCACAACCTGGGCATGTGCCCTGACCGGGAATCAAACCCTGACCTCCTGATTCCTGGGTTGATGCTCGCCCACTGAGCCATACCGCCTGGGCTGCAAATCGATTTTTCATTGATCTGCATCCATTCTTTCATTCCACTAACATTTACTGAGCACCTACTGTGTGCCAGATACTATTCCACCTATGCAGGTAGGGTTAACCTGCAAGCTGCTCCAGCAAGTGGTTTTCCTTTCTTTGAGGTTTTTAAAGATTTTTCACCCCAAAGAGACCCCACTCCTTTCCCTCTTGACAGTGGTCCCTTTCACATTCCTCAGGCCTGCCAGGCACTGGCATGTCCCCTCTGTCCTGGATTCTGCGTGGTTATGCCTCCATCATCTTCAACTCTTGGCTCCAGTGAGGCCTCCTCTGACCACCACATTCACGACTACCCCCCTCACTGTGCAGCCCCCAGGATTCCCTGCTCTATTTCCTGCATGACACTCTCCCCTCTCCCCTCACTCTGCCACTTGCTCGTGGGTCTGGGTTATCCATGGTCTCCCCCCTGCTAGGAAGGGCTTCAGAGAGCAGCGTTTTGTTCGCTGATTCTCCCAAGCACCTATCAGTGATGGCGAACCTATGACATGTGTGTCAGAGGTGACACGCGAACTCATTTTTTTGGTTGATTTTTCTTTGTTAAATGGCATTTAAATATATAAAATAAATATCAAAAATATACATCTTTGTTTTACTATGGTTGCAAATATCAAAACATTTCTATATGTGACACGGCATCAGAGTTAAGTTAGGGTTTTTCAAAATGCTGACGTGCCAAGCTCAAAAGGTTCGCCATCACTGGCCTATCTAGTGCCTGGCACATAGTAAGAACACAGTAGGTAATGTTTCATTTACTCGTGTGTTCAAGGATTAGGTATTAGGTGCTCACTGTGGGGCAGGTGCTGGGCTGGGCATGTAGCGGGGACTCAGGCCAGGCATAGTCCCCCTTGAGCTGCTTCCTGGGGAGAAAAGTGACAACAGATGTGGAAACAAACTCGGCAATAAGAGGCCTCCAGTGGTCACAAATCTAGGAGGGAAGAAGAGGGAGCTCACGGCATAGCAGGTGCCGTGGGAGGTTTTAGCGAAGCGTGGTGGTCAGAGAACATTCTGGGAGGGGGTTGCATTCAAGCGAAGGCCCATGTGAGTGAGAAGGAGCCAGAGAGGGAACGTTCTGTGGAAAGAACATCCCAGGCAGAGAGAAGAGCAGATGCCAAGGCCTGGACGTAGGCCAAGCCCTGCCTGAAGCTCCGAGAGTGTCAGGTGTCAGCACGGCTGCGGGGAATCCCACCCTGAGCTTCCCACGTGGCCAGGCCCACGCACAGCACTTGGCGTCTCTGAGCCGCAGTCCTCATCTTCCACGGAGTGGGCAGTCCTCACCCCTGGCCACGCGAGCTCGGAGGAGTCGATGAGACATTTAAGAGGTCCAGCCTGGTGCACAGCCTGGAGGAGGCACTCAGAGGAGCCTGGTAGTGGACGGTGATGTCTAACACTCTGGTCCTTCCTTTTCTCCTACAGTTTCCTGCCCCGCTCTGAACGCCCCTCGAGACGGCAGGAAGTTTGGAAGCAAGTACTTAGTGGATCACGAAGTCCATTTTACCTGCGACCCCGGGTTCCAGCTGGTGGGGCCTAGCAGTGTGGTGTGTCTTCCCAACAGCACCTGGACCGGGGAGCAGCCCCACTGCAGAGGTTGGTCCCTCCTAACGGTCCTCGGAGCCGGGCCCTATTGGGGAGCAAAGCTCATTGCTTGGGACCCTTTCCACCTGATGCCGCCACCATTTTTCAACCGCAGGAAAGCGGGCACAATGTCTGATGACTCAGCTCCACCAGTCCGAGCTCCCTAAATCCTCCCTACAATTTAGTCTTGTTTTGCATATGGGGAAATTGAGGCACAGAATGCCCAAGACCACAGCGCTGGGGGACAGGCTGAGCTGATCCACACGCAGACACTCTGACCCCAGCGTCAGTTCCTCCGCACCTCACTCTGCTCTTACCAACGGGGCCAAGACGCCTTCTGGGGTTGTGGGGAAGGACAAGAGGGAGACGCTGCACAGAAACGCTCCTCTTGTCTCCTTCGCTCTGGGCTGCCGTTTGCTTGTGAGGCTGCGGGTGGCCTGTGGGGTTGAAGAAGTCCCTCAGGTGTCCTTTGTGTCTGATGTGGGACTTGGTGTGACCGGCTCTGGGGAGGCCACTGGGTGAGAGGGAGGCATGAAAGCCTTCTCTTCTCTCTGTTGGGCTTGAAAACAGTACTTCTTTGATGCTGAGAGAAATCAGACTTGGCACGCATCACGTGTTGGCTTTTCAGAAATGTATGGTCCAGTCTTCATGCATACCAGTCATTTTCAGGGTCGGGCTCAGAGCACATGTGCCGGGGCAGAACGTCCATGATGTAGTCCAAGAAGTGCAGGGGAAACGCAAATAGGACACGAACAAGTAGGTTTTGAAGAACAGCATCTGAACGCGTGAGTAGCTCGCAAACATACAGGAGCATCAGCAATGCACCATCTCTCCCGACCGGAGGGTTGGCCTGAGAAGCACAGGCAGCAGCGCACACTTGCGGGTCCAGGCTTGGGTTCCCAGCCCCTGGGAAGAACGCGGTTTGCAGGGGGATTACAGGCTCAGCTCTCAGACCAATCAGCAGCCAGCCAGGAAATGCAAGGGGTGTCACAGGCGGACACACAGGGGACCTGCCTCTGGATTTCCCTTGACCCTGAAAGATTTCCATCATCTCCTATAGAGACAAAGAAAAGAACAAAAGGTTTTTTCCCTGGTGATGAGCGCTCTTAGGGTTTACTCTCTTCACCACTTTTCTGTGTCCTGCAGCCTTGCAGCTACAGCCGCCAGGCTTGGCACTTACTATAACTGGACGTTTGCACCTTTGTCTCTGTATCCCTTATAAACCGGGAGGTAACTCCAGCGGCCTGGCCAGCTCAGGGCAGAGTTTTGTTTTGTTTGGGCCGGACAGCACTCTACACGTCTGTTGGGGAGTCCCCGCCGTGGTCCTCTCCCTCCTGTGACACTGCCCCTTGGTGACGTCGCCGTCCTCATGCAGACATCTCCCCGGTCGGTCCCTCCTCGGGGCAGTTCCCTGAGTTCTCCAACGTTCCCAAAAGGTGCAGCTTTTCCATCGGGTGTCGTTTCGCTGGGACATAAAACACCCGTGAGAGTCCTCTCCTTGAGCATCTTCAATGTGTTCCTCTGTGTCTTCTGTTTTCGCACTGCTGTTGTTGCCATCATGACAAAGAAATCTCTTGAACGCACAGTAACCTGTTACTGGCCTTCCTGGGCCAGGTTCCTCGGGTGTGGGCTCGTGTGTTCCAGCGGGAGCCTCTGCCTCTGGAGCAGTCTGGCCCCTGGCAACGCGCGGGGCGTTCCGGGACAGGCCCCAATATGGTGGAGACTCTGCGGGAGGAGAATCCAAATGGAGCCCAACAAGGAAAATCGGTGCGGATGGAAGGGATGGTCCAGACAAGAGTGGGGGGATTGACAGGGCAGAGCTGAGCAAGTGTCCAACGCGGAATACAACGGCCTGTGACCTGGAGTGAGGGAGCTCGCAAAGCTCCACGGGAAAACTTACTTCCCTGAGGATGAGTCATAGGAAAGGACTAGATAAGCCATACAAACTACAGTAGGAAAACAGAGAGTAAAGTCGACAGCCAATGGAGAAATGCCAGAAAGACACGCCCACAGAACCGACGAAAGCTGTGACTAATATGTCCGAACAAGCAGCAAGAAATTTTATAAAGATAAAAACGGTGAAAGGATGGCATACATAAAAGAAAACCTCAGAAACGAGGTGTTGGGAGAAATGGGAAGTTTGAAACCAGATGACAGAACACAGGAAAGAATGAGAAATAAAGGGACAAGAGGTCAGATCATGCGCGTGAAACACAGCTCAGGTCCAGGGACACAGTAAGTGCTCACTTCACAGTAAGTTGGGCGACAGAATCATCAGAGTGCTTTTTGCTTTTTGATCCTCACCCGCGGATATGTTTTTATTCATATTCGAGAGAAAGAGAGAAACATTGATGTGAGAGGGAAACATCGATCGGTTGCTTCCTGCACCCACCGTGACCGGGAATCGAACCTGCAACCTAGGTATGTGCCTTGACCTGAAATTGAACCCACAACCCTTTGGTGAATGGGACGATGCCCAACCCACTGAGCCACGTGGCCAGGGCTCATCACAGAGGCTTTGCCTTCCCAGCCTCTCCACAGCTTCTCCAGTGCCCCCTTTGCAGCTCTGAAGTCGCCATGCACTTAACGAAGTGCCCCTGCCTGGGACAGACACGATGTGATGACAGCGGAATTTCAGTTGGGACTCAGATGGCACGCCATGGCACGCCTCCAAGAGTGGATCAAGATAAGAGTCTGTGTGGGTCCTGTCTAGAAATGAAAACCTGGGGCACCTGGGTACAATCCCCACCCCACCTGCACCCCATTGTCCAGGTGCGACCGGGCTCGGTGCCTCCTGCTGGAGGCCTGGCTGGGGACAGGCCATGGCGCTGGTCCCGCCGGGGCCAGAATGAAAGACGCCCGTGTTCAAATCCTGGCTCTGTGCCCACGACCTCATGGCCTCAAGGTCTGCTGCTTTCAGACGTTGCTGGTGAGAACCGAAGGGGTGGACAACAGGTAGAAACGGGAGCTCTGGGCCTGTGGCTTTGTGTGCAGTGTGGCTCCAGGCACATTCCTGGAAACCCCTCATCTGAAAACAGAGCCTGTGGGGGGAGGACAGCCAGGTTGGGGTCACTGAGAAGTTGAAATGGCTCCTCCCAGCATCTGGATGGTCTGGGTCCTTCCGTGATGGAGACAAACCATGTCACAGTCTACACGACACCCCAGTCACGAGGAGGTCAACCTGCCCCACAAGGCTGCAGCTCTCATCAGGAGCGAAGACCTTCCCTTCCTCTCGAAGGACACAGCAGGGAAGGATGCTCAGGTGCCTCTCAGGGCGTTTCGGACCGTCCCCAGGACGCTATGGTCAGCCCGGGAACTCCAGACCTGCCCCTGGTGCCCGAACGCCACCACCAAAACTGGGCTTACGGGATTCACAACATGCAGATGGGGCCTGAAGGTTTCAAAATATCATTTTTCCCCCCTGATTTGGAAATTTATAAATGTTCATTGTGGAAACAAAGTGTAAATAAGAAAAACTACCAACAGAGGAAAACCTATTGCACTGTTAAACATGTATCTCTCTATGGAGCTTTTCCACCAGACTCTGCGTAGATGAACAAGGAACCGTTTCCTTTTCCAGCATTAAGGAGAGGTCAAGGGTCAGGAGAACTGACGGGAGGGCTTCTAGGTGGGATTGGAAAGTGCATTTCCCCATCTCTGTACATTCCATGGGCCATCCCTCCCTCCCTCTTAAAACTCCCCCAAACTAAGCTCCTGTCCTAAAGGTGTTCTACCTCGGAGCTGGCTGAAGGGCAGCGTTGGGGGCAGTTTTACCTGGGAGCTGGCTGACAGGGGCAGGTGACGGGCTGTACCCACCGGCAGAGCTCCAGGCTGGCAGGCATGTGGCCTGCAGAGGGAGGATGGGCTGCATCTGAGCTCCTGCAGCAGGTGGTGGCAAGGACAGAGGGGGAGGCGGAGGCCCGAGGCAAAATGCGACGTAAAGACAGTTCATCCATCCTGTGTTTTGTTTGTTTGTTTTAGAATCAGAACTCAGACTTGTGATTGAAAATGATTTATCTTCCTAGATATCAGCGAGTGCGCCAGCCAGCCTTGCCAGCATGGCGGGACGTGTTTAGAAGGAGTCAACCAGTACACGTGCATCTGCCCTCCAGGAAGGACCGGGAGCCGCTGCCAGCACCAGGCCCAGACTGGTACGTGGCCGTGAGGGGCTGGGCAAGGACATCCGCTGCCAGGGAACCCTGGTCAGGGGCCGCCAGACGCACCGAGGCAGGTACTAGGGACGGAGTTTAGCTCTTTTGTGTAACCAGAGTTTTGAACCCTTTTATGGAAGAAAATTCAAGTGGAAGGACCGATTCACAGCCTGAAAGGTCCCCAGGTTGGGGCTGGGCGGAGCTGTTTCCTTGTGGCCACCTTCCCGTGTCAGTGTTTCCCCTGCAGACCTACAGAGTGACTTCCTGTCCCATCACACCTGCAAGTTTGCAGCTGCTGTTAGAGGCCAGGCGTCTTTAGAGCTGGGCGACTATTCATCTGAGTGGTGGGGAGGTTGTCCGCACACAGAGTCCCCAAATATTCGCCAGCCAGAAGGCCTGGGAGACATACAGTGGCTGCCGTGAAGATGGCAGGAAAATGCAATACGGAACCGATAGGGGTGGACGGGGTTCCCACACTGCGATGCAACCAAAATGACATAAATAGGTCAGATCCTAAGTATATCCTGCTCCTTTGCCCCCAAAGCCTGGCACGTCCTGTGTGATTTCTGTGTGGCATCTCAGTGTGGGGGGAGGATCGGGCGGTTGGCACCGTATCCGGAGAGTAGGAGCTTTGTCAAGACTCAGTGTCCTTGCACCGGACCAGCCCAAGGCCACCTGTAAGTGTTGCCCCCAGAAATTTGCTGCTTCACGTGTCCTGATTCCATCCAGCCTGCTGGGAGTTTTCTCAGGACAAGGCTGCCCTGCCAGGAGCCCCGAGCCCCTCCAGTTGGTCGCCAGGAGGCTGCTCTGTCAGACGGAAGTGGGAGGCGGGCCCTTCTGGGCAGCCCCACGGCCTCTCCTTACAAACAGGACAGAAAAGGAAATGGGCCCCTCGCAACCGAAATGTGCTGGTCTTGCAGGCTGACGGCTTCTGCCATCAGGACCTCTAGGCAGCTGTTCCTCAGGCCCAGGGGCACTTCATGTATAAAGTATCCCATGATGGGGACCCCCCACCCAGGAAGAGAAGGAGGGAATGACGGGTGCACCAAAGCCAGCTCCTGCCTCACAGCATCATGGACCCTCTAGCAGACACCTGGGAGCTTCCTCACCTGTGTGTCCAGCAGCCAGGGGGGAGTCTCCCGCTCAGTACTTTTTCTTAAACCCAGTGTCACTGCTTTTTCTGTCGTGGTGAAATGCAAACAACATAAAAGTTGCCATTTTAAGTGTAGGGTTTGGTGGCAGGTTCAGTGGCACTAAGTACGTTCACGTTGTCCTGCAGCCACCCAGCCCCTGAGCCTTTCCACGTGTCAGAGCTGAGACTCTGCGCCCAGCACCTCCCCTGGCAACCCTGCTGCTTCTGTCTGAATCCCACTCCTCTGGGGACCATTACGTGGCAGGAACCCCACAGTCTGTGTCCTGTGTGCATCCCCTAACTCTCACCCCCATTCCTACAGCCTCCCCACAACCACGTGCGAGCGCAAATCCTTTGACAACTACCAAAAACAAACACTTTTTTTCTGATTAGAAAGTTGATTTCTGTTCTTGGTTCAAAAACAAAAAGAAAAACGTAGAAAAGAACAAGAATACAGCACAAAAGAACCCTCCAGAAGTGGGTGCGAACTGCGGTGCCCGCTGGGCTGTGGGCACTGGGTGTGTGCCACGCCGTTCTGAACGAAGAGGCGGTTTCGCCGACCTTCGCCCTCCGCCTGGCCTCGGTGCAGCGCGTGTGCCGGCCACGGGGTGGGCAGTCCGCGGGGGGTTTGGTGACTCCCCCTCCCTCTTCCTCCGCCTGCAGAGTGAGCTCTCCTTCGGGCTCCCCGGCCTTTCCTGAGGTCCGGGGGACAGTGGGGCGGCTCTGACTCGTCTTCTCCCCGCAGCCGCCCCCGAGCGCCAGGCGGACGACCCCGCCTTCAGCCGCGCGCCGCGCTGCGCGCAGGTGGAGAGGACCCGGCACTGCAGCTGCGAGGCGGGTTTCCAGCTGAGCGGCACGGCGGGCGGCGACAGCGTCTGCCAGGGTAGGTAGGCAGGGGCGCGGGGAGGGGACTCGAAGTAGGGGGGACACAACGGGGTGCCCACCTGCCAGACGGGCACAGCAGGGGGGGCGCAGGAGGGAAGGGGCACTGCCACCGCCCTCCCACCTATGGGCGCACCCAGTCCGCACCGGGGGCGCAAAGGAGGAGCACGGCCTCAGGGATCAGCCCCTGTG